AAAAAAAATCCGTTTTTTTTTTTTTTATATTCCTACAGAGGGCAATTTTCTATCTGAATTAAAAAATTAACAAAATTCTTGCTATGCAATACCTAGAGAAGAAGAATTTTTGAAAATGCTCACTAAAAAAAGAAAATTTAGGTAAAAATTGTTTGATTAAAAAAAAATAAAAATAAAATTAACTATGAAATTAGCGAAAGTACACCCCTTTCATAGCAAAAGTTAAAATCGAAAATTGAAAACGCAGGAAAAGCATCCAAAAAACATGATTAAAGTTTTAAATAATTGTCAATAGTGACCTCACTCGAGAAATTAAGTTTTAGGGACCATTTAAAAGGACAAAGAAACTATTGAAGTTTCAAAGAAGATGACAAATTTGATCGTGATTCGCATTCGTAGACTTTATGAAAAACTTATTAGACATTCCCAAGTGTAAATCTGGTAAGAATGATAAGTGCTTTGCTGGAGATCAAAAATTTGATCGCTTAAAATCTGAAAGCTATATAAAGCGTTTTTTTGGCCCTATTAACGTTTCAGGTAAAGATAAAATTTTCAAAATCCCTCTTTGAGATGGAGATCTGAAATAACTGTAAAATAGAAAAAAAATTAAATGATATGAAAACTTTTAAATATACTTGTTAATATGTATGGCAATGCATCGACATCAAGCTGGGCAGATATATTTTATAAAAAAAAGCAAAATGTGAACACAAAGACTTAGTTAAGCGGGATTAGGTAGAACAGCTCAGCAGTGAGGATATTCGTAAGAGTAGTTAAGGCTAAATTGCAATCATCATCCAATCAAAACCTGTCAGTTCTGCCAGGCGCTTCGTTTATTGGTACATTTTTAAAGCTCCACAAGATCTTCTGTGTTCGCTTGAATCGACTACAAGTTTCAAACACAGAACTTTTCATTGGTTTGCTTTCCATGTGCTGGGAGTTATGTATGTTACTATCACTAGATTATTCCGTTAATTGTTCAATTTTTGTTGTGCTCCCTTGTATTTTGTCTAGAAAATTGTATGTACTATCTACTTTGTTTCGTCGAATTATGCTTTGCACCACTTGTGTTACAGGGATATATGAACATTGTGCGGAAGTGTGCAGCATTGAAAAGTACTTGACATAAATTCGTCTTTTATTACACTGACCGATCTGTCTGTCTGTCCCTCTTGTTTTCTCAAACTACCAGCCGCAAATTTTAGATATTGTGATGAGATACGCGGACCACTTCCCTCATGACGCCTGATTGTGAAAAGTCGTTATATAACTTATATAACTATAAGGTGAGTATTTATTGGTGGCTTATAGTGTTTAGTGTAGGTAGAGTATTTATTGGTGGCTTATAATGTTTTTCTCTATTTTACTCAATTTTCCTTCATTTTCTTTAAAGTTAATTATTTATGTAATGAAATTTAATGAAAAAATGATAAAAATGAATGTTTTCATCAATAAACAAACAACTTAAGGGAAAATTTAAATAGAGAAACAAAAAGAAGAGAGAGACTTTACAAAATGAAATAAATACTCATGAAATACTTTAAAAAAAAAATTCCTTTATTTTATATTAATACTGTTTTTATTATGTGTTTTTGTTAAATATAATTTAAATTTTTGTTTTTATTTAGTTTAATACCTAAACTATATTTTGATTTAGTCAATAATAGTTTTACTTTAAATCGATATTTTATTAATTCTTGTTAGTTAGCGTTTTAATATTGATATATTAAATTTTCTATATGTCATAATAAATGAAATAAAAATTAAATGAATAACTTAATAATGCAGACGTAAACTTACGTATAAATAATAATGATTAAGCCATAAACTAAACGATGAGATATACTATTAGCTCATATACGATTATTGCATATTTATATAGCGGGAGAAATACAGGTAAACCTACTAAAATGCATAAACCACTTAAATAACAATTTCTAACTAATTCATTTAATTGTTTGTTTACTAAATATTTTAAAAGCATTTTATCAGGTTTAACTGCTTTTAATTTTTTTCTCTCTTTTCTTTTTTTTTTTTTATTTTAATAATAAAAAACTTTTTTGGGGATATTAAATAAAACCAAAACACTTTAAAAAAAAAAAAAAAAAAAAAAAAAAAAAAAAAAAGAAACAAGAAAAAAATAATCAAGGTCGATTTAAATGGTTTTTTAATTTTTAATATTGAATATTCTCCGCTCTTTTTACACCCACCACCACTAAAGGCATAGTAATTTTTTTAATGTAAATAAATTTCATTCGCTTCACTATCTCCGTTGTTCCCTTCCTTTACTACCGTGGTTAAATGCCTTCACATGTAACAGTAGAAAAAGTATTTTATAACATTTGTATCAGACACGCCTATTTGCTTTTGCATAGCCAAGTTTTTCTACATGCGGAACTAATGGATCAAAAGGATTAAAAATTTGTGAAAGCAATATTGAACTCTGCTAAGAGTTTGCTATTTAGACAGGCAGAAGCTTTCAAAAGCTTATAAATTGTTTTTGTCAAACAAGTTCTAAATTGTCCCCGAAAGGCCCCCGACCTTTGAATATTTCCTAAAAAAGGCAATAAAATGAAAGGACTCTTTAGTGTTAGCGATTGTTCCGAGTAAATGAAATAAACATTTACAAAGAGTATTAAAGCTTCGACGAAAACTGCGAAGAAGCATAAGAGTCGTAATTATTCCTAGACAGACTAGAGTAACAGCACAACCGCCAGGTTGAAGAAAGTGTTTATGGGCTACGGTGTTGAATCTTCGCTATACATTTGCCGGGGGTGCTTCATCCCATTGTTGTCGAAGAGGCAGAAAATGGTGCTATATATAGGTGGCTGCGTGTATATTGATCAGCGATATCTATTGATGAAAACGATAAAATAATGCCTAGTATCAAGGTACACAACGGTCAAATTCGATGATTTTGCTCCTTCTCTGCATAAAACAAAAGTACAGACGCGAATCATGGAACACTTAAACTTTCGTTGTCGGCATTTATTACTTTTGTTGTTTGGTTTGAAGAAATCTTTTGCCGAAGTCCGTCAAACACTTTTAAAAACTTTTATAGATGCGCCTGGAGGAGCAAAAAAGTTTGAAGGCATTGTATTGCAAGACTTATTAAACGAAAATACAACGCAAGTGCTCAAAGAACTTTCGAGCAGCCTAGCAGCTGATGGGTCAACTGTTTCTAAAAGGGAAAATGCCTGCCATACGTGTTGACCGAAAATACTATTTCGTATCTTTGCAACATCGCGGTTTCGTCGCTTGCCAGGCAACAAAAGAGAAGTTTTCTGCGGCGTATTGTGGCAGCCGTTGAAAAGTGCAACTACTACGACAATCCCAAGTGCAACAAATTATGGGTAAGCTCAACAGATATTATGAAAATGAGAAATGTCACATAAAGCCATGCAAGTGGTTATTAGACTCTTACGAGCAGATAAAGACGTTCGAATTAAGCAAACTTGAAGAGGGCATAGAAAACTCGCTGACATTGTGATGGACATTGATATAAGGAAATTTCAATGTTTCAGTTTAAATAGTGGTGGGTGTAGAGAATTCGTTTTAAAACCGAATAAAATTTAATGATTTCTTTTTCATTTACTAAATACTAACAACGTATGAGTTGATTGATGATGTGTTAAATGATTTATTAAATATTTTTGTTTTCTCATTTAATGTCTATATTTTTTAATTATTTAAAATGGAATTTCGTTTTAACTAATTGTTATGTTAAGCTGCTGTTAGTGAGGGATTTGATATTTTATTATTTTTCACATTTACTCAATGTTTGCAATACTTGAAATTTATTTGGCCTTTGTTTACTTGGGGGTTATGTATGTTGAGTTTGATATTCTTCTTTTTCTTCTTCTACTACGGATGATAGTATGTAAGTAAAAACAATATAGTGTATGTGTGAAATAATGGAACAATGGCTAAATAAACTCAAGTATTGTTTATTTTTAACCAGATTTATATTACACCAACATATTGTTATTGTATTCGTTGGAAATAAAGGGAAGAAAAAATTTGTAGCTTAAAAACAACAAAAAAAAAAAATAATAATAAATTTTGCGTAATATACTGGCTATAATTTTAAGATGAATGAATCTTTAGATTTTTTTTTTTTTTGTTTTTATTTAGAGATCTATTATTTAGAGATTCTTTTTTTATTAATTTTTATTTAAAAATGAATTTGATCGAGTTTTATGACGATTTTTCGTTTTAATTAATTTTTTTTCTTTTTTTTTTTTACAATGTTAGGCCCACATAAACGGCAAGCTGACCATGTACACTCCCACTTGAGACCACTGCGTGTAAACTACTCTTATTGAAATATTTAAATAATTTTGTAATTGTTATTATTATTATTATTATTTTTTTTTAAATAGAATTGGGAAAATGTATAAAATGAAAAGTTATAAAAAAAAGAAAATAAATTAAAATTTTACTTAACCATTAATCTTCTAATGGTTTAATGAAGTAATTAAAAATTTCTAATATTTGTAATTTTTAATGCGAGTGGATTTTTATTTAATAAATGTTTTTTATATTTTTGTTGTTTGTTTTTTTTTTTTGTTCTTTAGTTTAAAGCAAACATAATATTTTTGATAAACTTAAAAAGTTTTCAAAAGTATTTACAAGCATAATAATTATTTACAATTTTCTGAATTTAAAGTAACTCATCAGAGGTGCATATTGAGGAGCAACCCAAATTTAATATTTAAAAAAAATTAAAATTCAAATCAAAAATTCAAACACAATTTTCTTTTCATTTTCATTATTTTTACGGTTATTAGCTTACCTTGTTTTGGCTTTGTTTTTAAAAAATTTTTATATAATTCTTTTCTTTTAAGCTAAATTTTTTTTAAAATTTTAAATTTTTATATGAAAAAATTTTAATTGAAATACCTAAATATTATATATTAATGTATAGATATTTAATGCTTAAAGAATAAATCTTAATAAGAGTTATGATTATTAAAAATAAATTGAATTTTCAAACTTACCTATTGTACATAAGCACATCGGGTTTCCATAATTTATTTGGTGTTATACGCAAATCCTTGACACCACCATATTCGGAATCATTCCATTGTAAATTGTAATCGTTCCATTCCTATGTTTATTTTATTATCAAAAAAAAAAAAAAAAACATATATAGCAATTAAAAAATATACTCGGAAGATCAGAAGAATAAATTATTGATTTCCCATAAGATAATAGTAGAAAAATATAAAAAAAATCTCTTGTCAAAATAATGTATCATCCATTCCTTGCACGTTATGTCTCTAAGTCAATGGCATATTGACAAGTTATTCGATATTTGGTAGCGAAAAGGTTTTTCAATTTTTATAATTTTTTTCTAATGCGACTACAAATTGACGTGGAAGAGCATGATTTTGATATAACAAAAAATCAAATATGGGTTTTTTTCAATTGATTTTTATATCCCACACCACTTATCCTGCAAGTGTGTATTAAGTTGATCCGGATGTATGTAATACTCAGAAAGACTTGAGATAGATCTATCTTCCAATTATACTAATCCACTAAACTGTCTGTCTCTCTGTCCGTTTTGTATTCTTGTGTTCAACTTATGGGTCTTAATTTTTGAGATATTTTGATAAAATTTGATACACTGATGTGTTTCGGCCCAAGGACAAACGCTATTGCAAACGGTTCGGAACGGAGCACTTTTTCGGTCACCTCCCTTATAATGTCTTGTTTTGAAAAGTTCTTATATGAATAACTGTAGGATGGAGCAGAGCACTTAATTGCGGACCGAGATCAATTATGGTGTTTTCCCTTGTTTTTAAAATCAATTTTTGGATCTCATATTTACTAGATTTTAAATTGCATTTTCAAGAAATTCTTTTGTTTGTTTTCCTGGTTGCAAAAAAGTTTCCTGCAACCATTTTGGTAATAGAAATCAAGCAAAAAAAAAAGAAAAAGAATTATTTAGCGAGTGTTGCCACATCCTTGCCTTATTTTTCATAAACCTAAAAGTATATTTTTGAGACTAAGCTTTCTTAAGTAGACCATGGAAAATTAATAAAATTTTTTATTTTTTTTGTTAATGTAAAATTAAGGGCAAGACGTGGTTTTTGGGGAATTAGATGAGATGTTCTTCAAGTCAGATCTTGATTAATTTGCATATAAGGGAAGTATACAATAGCTGTTGGCTCATGAAATCTAGATGTGTTAATGGTTTGTATACAATATTTGTACGGCTGTGGTACATATTCATTAAATGAATGAAATTGAACGGAATATTTTAATTAATATTTTAAGTTTTATACATCACGAGCTTGGAGCATATCCTCTACCAAATGTATAAGTGTATTGAAGTTTTACGTCCATTTGATTTTTCATAAGCAATGGATGAGTCTTTGTAAATAAATTTAATGTATTTCCCCGACTGTTTGCTTTAGCCAACGAGTATTAATGAAATATGAATTAATTTTAATGAAGATTCAATTAAATCTTTCCAATGATTCAATCTTCGCATTGTCAATATTGTGCTCATTATTGCTTAGTGCAATTTAATTATAATTAAATATTTCGCACATAAAAGTCTAATTATCATTATGTAAATTATTATCTGCGCACTCTGACAAGAGATTCTTTTTAATTAAATTAATTTGCAACATATTTAGGTGTATATGTGTTTATATATCATATGTACGTTTAATATGTGTTGTGTTGTGAATGAAATGGCGACACAGTTTTTTTTATTATTATTATAATTTTTTTTTTTTTTTTTTATTTTTTTTTTATATTTTTCTCAACGCTACACATAATTAAATATAACTCTTAATGAATTAAACGCACGTCTTCACACTCCTCTAGTTAAATAATCACACAAACTGACACTAACTATATATGTTAAGAAATCGTTAGAAAAATGCATGCATAAATAAAATTTTAATAAAAGTAATGCATAATAAGATAATTTAAAAACAAACATTTTTTCAATATTCGCCTCAAGTTCTCCTAATCATTTCGTTGCAATGTGTAAAAAAAAATTCTTATGACACTTTAAGGTGTTTAGTGCCGAAAGTTTTCTGTTTTCTGTTTCTCTTCTACCCTTTCTTTTTTTTTAAAAAACCTTTTCTACTTTTTTTTTTTTTTGTTTTAGTTTGCTCGTTTGCGTTTATTGTTTTAGTTGTGTTGTTTTGTATAGTTTGTTCGTTAGTTTGTTGATATTTTACAAATTGTTTACATTTCTCGTTTTTTTGTTTACAATTCTCTTCTTGCTTGTGTTTGTGGTTACTGTGGTTGGATGTTGTGAAAAAAAAGTTTCCAAAAAAACAATTGTTGTTCTTTTTCTTGCGGTTATAGATAAGGAACTTGCTTAGAAGTTGTACCCAAATAGTAAAAAAAAGTTTTTTTTTATAACAAGGTTTGGATGTTGTATTGTACATACTTTCAAAAAAAAAAAAAAAAAAAGAAAGGAGAAAATTTATATATATTTCCCATATATATGTATTTTTAATTAATTACAAAAGGAATTGTATTTCAAAAGAATAAAATAATCATATTTTAATAGACTTCATATGGACAACAAGAAGGTAGTCATATGCGACTTGTATCCACTACAGGTCATAACATGTATTTTAAAATGAAATTTGGTACGATTTGTCAGTAAAAAACGAATAAGTAAACGACAGCATTTTATTCATTCTATACAAGTTTCTGAGCTCATTTTCAGCGGAAACGTAAATGAATTGTATCGTAATCCACACTGCTATGAATTATGAGCATACGTTTCCTTCTCTGTTACGTTAGCGTGCTTATTGACCTTTTTGCATTTTCCCCAGCGACGGGGTTACTTTCCTTGAAGAGTCTTTAAAGGCTTCGGGAATCGCCTGCGTGCAAACTTCCAGACCGCTTGGTTAACTACAAAGGAGGTCCAGGATATAACCTCATGATTATGGAGGGAATTAAAGACAGCGTAGAGTGATAAGGTGCCTGGCGTATGTTGGGTTGATTACTTCGCCTTGTACAATAAATCCAAGGGCGAGAGTAGTAGGGTGGTTTTCTTGGAAGTGTGGACAATCCGAATGCAAGTGTGAACATAATGAACATAATGATACGCGTAATATCGATCATTATAAAGCATTATCTAATAAGACTTTGGAATCCACTTGGATCGGGTTGCTCGTTCATTCAATGTATCACATGTATCTGCTTAAGTGGGTAGGGGTGTCTGCATCTTTTACATTTTTCGATTGATGCTTGCCGGATTCCTCGGGTGAAAGCTTGCTTGCCATGTAAGAAAGTTCGTTGGAAGCTGGTATATTCGATCGCAATTTGAACTCGACAGGTTTAACCGGCATGTGAGACCTGAGCACTTGAATGCAGACCTTCGGGGAGTACTTATGGTGGCTGTGGCATTCCCAAGTGCGGGGGCATTAGATAAATAGAGGCGCTTGATATATCTCGCCCCGCCTAGGGAGGAAGCTTTGGATCATATCCAAACTTTCAGTTCCTGTACGTCAATCTAGGACTAGGCCATCTTTGCTGCAAGCATGAGGGTTCCCAATTCAATCAATTAATTGCCTATGGTTATAGGGAATCCGTTTGATTGAGGCCTCACACCATGCGTAGACATTAAAAATTGGCATAATCTGAGCCTTTGTATTTTAAATGATGGTCTCTGAACTAACTAAGGGTGTGTTTGTCGATTTTTCATTTTAATTTTGGCGCCAGCAATCGAATAAGAGTTTTCAGGCAGACCGACAAATAGATGGACCGAGTCCGATTGATTCAGGACACGTACGGAGATATTTATGCACTTTTTAATAATGCATTCTTTTAACATTCAACTTTAAAGACATAATTTAGGAAAAATGGAAAAGAGGAAAATTTTTTGGTTTTCGAATTTAATCTGTAGAAACCAAGATGTCTGATATCCTTTAAGTAAAATTGACTGTTCCGGTTTTGACGAAGACTTAAGGGTTTGATACTATCTCTCTGCATAACAACAATACTTGCAGCCACATATATGAACACTTGCGGAGCATTACGCGTTGCAACATTAAGATAAATAAACATAAAAATGTATTTATTTACAGTCGGTTTATTATTTACGATTGAATGCTTGCAAAGAAGTGTGGAGGAAAAATCGCTGAACTTATGCACCGTCTATAGACAGCCACTGTCACTTTATACGCATTTCAAAGTATACTTCATTATAAAGCATCATTTCGCCTCATGGAAGTAACGGCATGTGTAGATCAACAGTGTTAACCGTGTTTATCGACTGCACGCTTTTACTTTGAATTTATTCAAGTAAATTAAATTAAATTATGTATAAGTTTTGTAATTTTTGGTTATCGGGAAATTTTTTCTAAGACATGCAAGTAGATTTTTTTTTTGGTTCTTACTTCAGTACGTAGTTACTTCAGCGAACAATTAATAATGAAAAATTCTTAATGAAAAAAGTTAATCATGTGTGGGTGGAGATGCACAGAGATGCATGATGGTTTCAAATGTAGTTGAGCATGTCTATGCTAGAATGCACAACAAGGAAGGAAATCTGTGTAAGTATGTGTGTGTGTGTGGCTATGTTTTCGTCTGAAACTGTCAGTGTGAAATGGCAGTAGATAATTGTTTCAATACACATTGTTGGCCATAAACGTTTCAATATAATAAATTTTAATTTCCTCGTAGCGGTTTAAAACATTATATAACTTTTTCTCTTTTGCATATTTATCATACCCTACACGGCATTTGGGACAGATTATTGCATAGGCAGTATAGAAAACTCTAAATGAGACAGACATATGTTTCAATATACTGATCGATTCAGAATTATTTTCAAATTTACTTTAAGTCTGTCCGGTCGTCTGGTTACATTTTTTTGGGTTATAATTTCCGAGATAGTTTGATCAAATTCTGTATACTGACTGATATGTATTGGTCGAAAGGCGATTTTTTTTGAAAATGGATCATATCAGATTAATATTACGATCACCTGTCATATAATGATCTATTTTGATAAAGTCGTTATGTGGAAAAAAAAATTTTACTTCTTTAACATTGGAGTTTTCGGAAAAATAGTGAAGAGGTATCGATTTATCTTTTGAACCCTCTTGAAGTTGCGTAGATGGG